ATATATATATACACACACACACACACATATATATAAAAAATCCGCTGCCGTCGAGTTGATTCCAACTCATAGAAACCCTACAGGACAGGACAGGACAGAACTTCCTCCATTGGGTTTCCAAGGCTGTAATCTTTACGGAAGCAGGCTGCCACATCTTTCTCCCGTCTTCAAGGAGCACGCTTAAAAAATCTGTCTTAAACGATATTCCAGAAAATATCCTCCAACTACAGCAAAACATAATATGCTAATCACAACCGCTTTACCTGAGCGTCCGGCGCCTCTTTCTCCCGTATCTGCAGGCACTGGGAGCGGAACACCTTCCAGCTTCGGGGACAACAGACCATTGTGAGGACTCCACCCCACACGCGCAGCCCTCCCCCCCACTATCTCCGGTGCACCCCTTCCCGCTCCCGCCTGTTAAGAGCAACGTCTCAGGGACACCGCAGAGCACCTCCGGGACTTCCACGCCTACCTGCCACCGCTGTCGCAATTGGGGCGGGCGCAGGCGAACACATGCAGCAACCGATGAAACGGGGAACCTTCTAGCGGGCAGTACACTTGCACTGCCAGGGCGAGCAGCTGTCCGCAGCGTCCGCACACCGGCCTCGGAGTGGCTACAGCTGGCAGGGCGTCCTGAGGGCAGGGAAGCGCTCAGTCCCAGAACTTGCCCAAGGGCTTCGCCCACTCCCTCACCCTAAGCCCCTCAAGAGCACCCTGCCCTCACCGGGACACCGCCCAGCTTGCTAGTGGTCCAGGCATCCGGTCCCGTAGGGCAGCCGTGCACTGCCGTGTCTCGAAGACCCAGCAACACCGGCTTTCGAAAGGCCGCCATGACGACAGGGTGCCCACGTGGAAAGGCGAACTACGGCAGCCGACGGGCGCGCCTCTTTGCGCACGCGCACCGCCTGCCCTTGCACTGGCTGGTCCCCTTACGGGCAGAGCCTGGTATGCTGAGGCATGGCCTTAAGGCGCTTGGGCTGGGTCGGGGAGGTTTCCGTGTCCTTCAATGCCACTGCTTACGGTGGAGCCTCAAAATCTCGGAACCCTAGGCATTGTGTGCCTCCTCAAGTTATGCGGAGGGCGGTGGTAGAATTCTCGCTTACCATGCAGGAGACCCATTTCGATTCTCGGCCAACGCACCTCATGGGCAGCCACAGCCCCATCTGTCAGTGGGGGCTTTCCTGTTGCTGTGATGCTGAACAAGTTTCAGCGGAGCTTCCAGACTAAGAGCGACTAGAAAGAAAGGCCTGGACATCTGAAAATCAGCCAGTGAAAACCCTATGGATCACAATGGTCCCATCCGGTGTGCTGGGGTCACCCTGAGTCAGGGGCTGGTGAGAGGGCAGTTAATGATGTTTCGCGATAGGAAGAACACACCATCTGCTATGAAGTAGTTTTGCCTGAAAATAAAACTTAGGTACCATTGAGGATTTGTTTTTGTTTAAACAAAAAAAAGTCCTTTTAGAGATATATACCAAAATGTTTACAGACAAGGCCGCTTATGTACAACCAAACACCTCATGGGATTTGGTTCCTTGGTTTGGAGGTTTAGGGTCATGGTTTCATGGAACATCCTAGTTAATTGGCCTAATAATGTGTTTAATGCTTCTGTTCTACCTCCTAGTTGTTGCCTAGTGCCTGGAGTCTTAGAAGCTTGCAAGCGACCACCCAAGGCACAACTGGTCTCTAGTCACCTGGAACAACAGAGGAAGAAGGAGAGTCAGGAATAGGAGGAGGATATGGAATGTGTGGCTAACTGCCTCCTTGAACAACTGCCTCCTTTTCCATGAGACCGGTACTGGATGGTCCCAGCTACCATCACTGAACATTTTGATCAAAGATTCCATAGAAGAAAAAAGAAATTCCATAGAAGAAGCCTGATCAAAAGGGGGAACATGCAGAACAGAATTTCAAAGTCTTATGGACTCCAGACTTTCTGGAGTCATGGAGGTTGGATGAACCCCTGAAATTATTGCCCTGAGATAATCTTTAAACCTTAAACCAAAAATATCCCCTGCAGTCATCTTTAAAATTGAACAAGAGTTTAGCTTAACTAGTAAAAAATGTCTACCTTGAGCATTATGCTCTTTTAAGAACTATCTACATGGGATCAAATTGATAACAGCAACTGGAAAGATTAGATAGGAACCTTAGAGGGCAGTGAGTTTATGTTAATGGGGGAGGAACAACTCAGAAAAGGAGCGTGAGAATGGTTGCACAACTCGAAGGATGTAATCAATGTCACTAAATAGTACGTGCAGAAACTATGGAGTTGGTGTATGTTTTGCTGTGTAGACTCTCAACAACAACAGAAAATAAAATTTAGAAAAAAATGGTTACATATTAAATGTATTTGGGATTTGCTTGAACACAGTTGGGAGGGGGGTATACATGAAATAACATTGACTGTGAGTTGATAATTGTTGAAGTTGGGCGGCAGGCACTTGAGGGGGCTGGAGGGTTCATTATACTATTTGACTTTTATGTGTTGAAATTTTTCCGTAATAAACTTTAAAATGCCTGTGGCACAACACGAATGAATCTCAAAAGCATATTGTTATGTGAGAGAAGTCAGACACAAAAGGGCTACATTGTGAAAAAGGCAAAGCTTTAGGGGCAGAAATCAGATCAATGGTTGCCAGGGGCTGCGCTCAGGATTTACCACAAAGGTGTACCAGGAACTTTTGGGGGTGATGAAAACGCAGTGTATCTCAATCGTGATGGTGACATGACTTTATGTATTTGCAAAAGCCCCCCAAAGAAGGGTGAGTTTTACTATATGGAAATCATATTTCAATAAAACCTGAGTTTTAAAAAAATGCATGTGGAAGATGCACCATTTCAAGCTATATACCATGGCGTACAAAGGAAATTTTATGTCTTCAAGGACCTACTACCTCAAAGAAGAAGTATATGCTTCATAATGCTTGGCTCCCGTGCCATCAAAGACCTGCAGATAAAACCAGTTTACTTGCTCTGCCAAACTGATAGCTTTAAAAGGCACTGGGTAGACTGTTCCATGTTTACTTCAGGGAGAGGGGCTGATGACTTGGCAGATATTTATTATCTTTTAGCTAATGATTCCTAAGATATATATAAAAATTATTACAAGCAGAAATAGACTTCAAAACTTCTAGTATTCTTGGTAACACAGCAAGACATCCTCCAACAGTTACTGAACTCTCCTACCATCAGTCATCTGTTTACATCATAACCCTACCTATTACAGCCTCTTGATCAACGAGCAATCACAGCATGAAGGGTTAAGGCGAATTTTCAAGATGTTAATTGCTGCTACTGAAAGTGACAATGAACAAATGATTCTGGAATTCAGGAGGCAATTTAACATCAAACTTGCCAACGGACACTACTATGGAGTCCTTGGAACACAACAAAAGATTGCTTGCATACATAAGATCTGAAGTATCTGATTTAATTCATGATTTTGTAGGGTTTGGACCTCCTGACAAACTCACACATAACTGCCGAACATAATTCGGCTAAGTCTTTGTCACTATAAAACAAGGATCGTCCTTCCTCTGGTTTCCATTAACATGTTTCTCACTCCCTTCTGAGCCCTCACTGGCTCAGAAAAGCTGAGAGAAATGTGAAGCAAATTGCGTATATAGCAAGTTGTGAGCTAATGTGTATTTGAGGAAGCGTACAATGAAGGTGTTGAAAGCTGTTCCAGTTGCACAATGAAGATCTATCTATTCAAGGCTTGCAACAACTGGTCACCAGGGGACTAGTAGAAGCTGCAAATGATGACAGTGGCAGTGATGAGGAGCAAGAGGGAAACAAGACAGGCTAGGCGACATACGGCCAACTGACATGTGTCGGTTCCTCCTGCACAAAGGCAGATGCGGGACTTGGCAGTTAGCCCTGGGGGAGTCCATCAGTCCCACCACTGAGATCCTACAGGTAAAGCCAGGTTAGTCTGAGAAGGTCTGCAACCTTGAATCTTCCTCTCAGGCTATAGACGTTCTTGTGCAATAAGGAAGGAGGTGGGTCAGCAGGGGCCTCAACAGAGCTTACCTGTCAAAGAACTTCTTTTTACCACTTCTACAAAGGTGGAGAGAGAAGGAGACATTCATTTTCAGAACCAAAATAAACAAAACAAACACTTTGTCATTAGAAAGATGAGAAGTGCTGGCAATCTGCATTTCTCCTACTAGGCACTCAATCTCCTGCATAAAGCACCATCTCAGTAAAAAATAAGAGGCTGAAGCCATAACCTCTTTTGTGGCATTTTTATTTTTCTACCCGGGATGTGAACAATGTGAATGTGGGCCTGAAAAATCAGCTGCACTGAAACACTCCAGTTAATTCCGTAACAGGGCTGGTGGACCTGGAGAGAGGCGGGTGGAGGGATTCCAGACCCGCGTCCCCCAAGAGACTTGTGGTCCAAGCCTGCAACCTGAGGGTGCTCTGGGCAGGGTAGGGCAGGACCATGCAGTGCAGACTATGGCAATAGGGACAAGAAGGACTAGTCACAACAGGGGCTGCCACTAAGCATGAGTTTATTGGCCTCTGGCCTCACGCTTGCTGTTGCTTGATGAAGTTGATCAGTCCATTGGTGGAAGAATCGTGAGAGGTCACTGGGGTGCTGCCTTCAAGCTCAGGTTCAATTTTCTTAGCCAGCTGCTTCCCCAGCTCCACTCTGCCAGAACAGGGAGGAAGAATGGTATGAGGAAGGTTCCAGTGGTGCTAGTGAAATCCACACCCACAGGCATTCGCCAGCCACCTCGTGAGTCAATAACTCACCCCCACTGGTCGAAGCTGTTGATGTCCCAGATGACGCCCTGAACGAAGATCTTGTGCTCGTACATGGCTGCAGAGGAGAGAGACAGTGCAAGTTAAGGCTCCACCAGCTCAGTCCACCCTAACCCAAGCTAGTGCCTCCCCCTCCTCACTCACCAATCAAGGCTCCAAGGATGAATGGTGTGAGCTTGCTAAACACAATAGAATTGGTCGGGCGATTTCCTTCAAAGACCTTCAGAAAACACCGAGGAATGTTCCCAGTTATTCCAGATCCCCAAGCCCCCAGAAAGGGAAGCGTACCCTGCCCCAGCAGCTGGGACGTGCAGGCTTGTGAGGACAAGCCAGTCACGTCACGAGTCCCTGCCCTGACCCTACGGCTTCATCCCAGCGTGTGACCCCAAAGCCCACTTTAAGAGGGGTGCTGACCTTGTGTGGCAACAGCTTCTCCAAGTCCTCTGCACTCTTTCCCGTGGCCTGGAGCTCCTTCCGGGCCTCTTCCGATGTTTTCCCCTTCATCAAGGCCTCAGTCTGGGCCAAGAAGTTGGCCAGGAGGATCTGACAAAAGAGACAACCAATCACACTGGAAGTACTGTCTGTGCTTCAGATAGAAGAGACAAGGCCACCTGGCACTGCCCAGGCAGGGTTAGTCCCAGCCTGGTCAGGCCACCTACCCACCACACTGCACAGCTCAGCTGGTATGGGGGTGGTGGTGGGAAAAAAAGGCCTCAAGGAACTTGGAGACCTTGTCCTTCAGTCATCAAAGCAAAATCCACAAATAGAGATGAAACCATCTAGGAAAGATCTATAGACAAGCCTCTTGTCTAATGTAGTGAGATAAATAAATGGGTACTGTTTGAAGCCATTAAGATTGTGGCAATTTGTTGGGGCAGTAACAGAAAACTAATACAGCTGCCGACCAGTGCATCAGGTCCTAAGAGGTCTGGGTGTAATATGAACCTAAGACATGAGAGGAGGGTCTGACCAGGGGCTCTTACCTTGTGATGCAACCCCTTCCGTATAGGGTGCTGGGTCTGGACCGGGATGAGGAAGTCACAGGGTATCATCCTGGTG